GAAAAAAAACTTTAAAATTAATTTATTAATTGTACACATAACCTAGAAAAACTTTTTTGTTTTTTTTTTTTTTAAGGAAAAAATATAAACTTACTGGCGCAATGACTGTTTTGTTGTTATGCAAATCAGAAATTAAATAAAAATGAGAAAACAAAGACTTTATGGAAAAAGTGTTCACGTACTGGTGCTTTTACCTTAGCAAGTGGCGCCTTTACCTGCAATACAGTCAGTGCTGACCCGTACGGGTTTCCGTAATAACCGGCTGACCCCTCTCTTTGACGTTAGTTGGGGCTTTCACGGTTGCCTGACTATTCCAAGGCATGGTTTTCCAATACTGGGCCCACTGTGGAGCGCCACTTAGGATTTTCAGACAATTTGATGTTACATAAAAAAACATGCAAGGAGTAAATGGTAAAAAAAGCACTAGTGAGGAAATGTAACGTCAAGTGTAAAAAATTTCTTTTTTTTTTCAATTAGTAATTTAAGACTGACGTCCCTCTTTTTCAGACTGTAATTGAATTTACATATATTTATATATAAATTTTTGTTGCTACAAGTTATGCCATGATCTACTAGAGTCAATGCTACGATCTGTTATGCTATGATTCCTCTTGTGCGAGTTTATCTGTTTCAACAACTTTGGATGATAATTTTTTACTAGTATTCGACGATGACGACGACAGTACGATTCTCGATTTTTATTGAATATGCGCGTATTCGAAGCTACTGTCGGTGTTGCGTCCAATTCTAGTAAATTTTATGAGTAGTCTCAAAACTGTGGCCAATATTAGTTAAAGCGATTTTGCGGCAGTAATTATTTCCATTATCTGCTGGTATCGACATATTCTTGTTCAAGTTATGAAGCCCAGTTACTTCATGTAGTACTGTACTTTTTCAACTTGTGTGTAAGATCGAGGACGAAAACTTGAAAGATGCAACCTGCAACAGAGAATAGGTTATAAGTAAAAGAATGTAGTTTTAAAGATATTACTAATTGTTGTACATAATGTTAATATACGTAGTACCATGTACATCAGATGTAGCGTTTATATACTATAAGTACTTAGTGTTAAGACTTGCGTCAATTCGATGCTGTCAGGTATGGATCTGAGAGGATGTATAACAGTTCTCCGATAAAACTGTGTCATTTCTTTATATTTTAATAAACTTAGTCATACTTCAACGCATGTGTCTTTATTTTAGTTATATTCCCAAATATATTACACTAATATCTCTATAATCTACAACAAAGGTATCAATATTGTAAAAAATCATAGACCCAATTCAATAATAAATAGTATGGCCAAATTACTTCATGCAGTTATCACCAAAAACCTAAATTTGTACCTTAAATCCATCAATCCTAAACATCATAGTTTTAGGCTAAATAACTCAACAACAACTAATATCATATATCTTTCTTTAATTTAATCTCGGATGCATTAAGAAACAACTCGATCCTAATTGAACGTAAACTATCTAGACTTTGCCAGTGTTTGATTCTATGAATCATTAAATACTTACAAAAACTGAAAGATTCAAGCATAGGAGGATCATTATGTGCTTTAATCTATCCATACCTGATAGACAGATTTAAATAAGTAAGGCTACATCGGTTGGCATTGAGTATCCCTCAAGAATTTCACCTAGGTTTACTTTTGTTTTTAATTTATTTTAATGTCGCTAAAAAAAGTAGAATATTACTTAGTATTTTTTACATAAATAATACAACATTCGTCATAAAAGCCAGTAGTTTTTTTGTCTGTACTAATCTAGAATGCGATATCAACATGTAAGAAATCTTTTTCTTCGAAAATGATCCAAAACTAAACTTTAAAAAAATGTAAAATCCTGTATTTTACTAACGGTCACCTTTGACTACACATGTGGACACAAGTGCACTTGATGGTTATTACTATAGATACGTGTAAACCATCCCTGTCATGACTTCATACATCGTTTAAATATTAACTTTCACAATACGAACACCAACAAAAAGATCGAAAACTAGAAGATTTATTTATATATTATTTCAAAACTTAGTTAAAAAAATTTCTTTAAATACAATACGAGTATGTTTTTTTACTTCCAGCGCAAGTTTTTAACATTTTTAAATAGTTTCTTGATGTACGATAATTTAAAATAAGACAAGTAGTATGTCTATTTAACATTTGCACCATTGCTCCAATAATTGTAACTGGCATAATAAGGAATTTTTTGACAATGACATAAAAACACATGCGTGGTAAATCAATTTTGGATTTTGACACTAGTGAAACTCATTTCAGTATTAAAGAACATATCTCGTAACTTTTGAATACTTTTGATTTAGGAGACAACAACGTCAAGAAATCAAAGAGAGCTGATTGGAATTCATTGTTAGTCAAATTTTTGCATTTCTGTAGCAATACTAACCAGAGTATATAATACATTACCTATGTGTAGAAAAATTAATGATACTGACTGAAGATAAATTTAAAAATAAACTTGGTAAGTATTGCCTGAAAGTATAGTAATTCTCTAAAATATGAATATTTGATTTGTATGTATTTTATAAGTATGTTTTTTCTTTAGACCTATTGACAATTGTACATACATAATAATGATAAATGTAAAACACTATTTTTTTAAATATTGAATTGTCTTTGGAAGTTTATATGTTTTTTCTCTCAATCCTACTTTTTTGTATTTACTTTTGATATTAACTGCAGAAAACAGTTAGTTGTAAGTTACACGAACTTTCCCTAAGTAAAGTTCAATCTCATGTATAATTATCCAAAAAAAGACGTATAATCCAAGTAATTCCTTCAGTTTGATCTGTAATCCCTTCACTGTAAGTATTTTGCATTTCGCGGAAAGTTAAAATAATAAAGGTTTAGTTGACAACGAAGATGTGTTTTGTGTGATAAGAATCCTTAATATTGAAGTAATAAATAAAAAATTTGATTATTTTTGATTAATGAATCATTTTTATGAGTGTAACGTGTAATCATTCTTAAAATTTAATTGAATACGACAATTTTTTCAATTTGATATTTGTACGAAATGTTATTCACCAGTGTATCAATACGTTTTACTGAAAATTTTTTAGGAAAATAATCGTTAAATACCCTTATTTATAGTGTGATTTTTGATAAATTTAGACAACTTTAAAAGTCTACGTAGAAAAATGTAGAACTAGTCGTAAAATGATACATGAAAAAAACTTTTTAGAGAATATTTCTAGGGTACTACGTAGTAGATAGAACTTTCTCGTGGATTAAGAGTTTAGATGCGCTGGAAATTGTTGACAATGTCCAAGTCTCACACTACGAGTTTTTACATAAATAATCCTCCAGGTAATTTAGTTGTCTAGGTACATTGAAGTGTTGATGATGGTGTCCAGATATTGTCCTCCAAACGTTTTGGCTTGAATTCTAATACTTTGCACGAAGAATTTTGTCACTACAGTATGTGTCACAAGAAACCCTACGTTTCTCATGAATATTCCTATAGATTTTCACATAAAAAATCCTGTAAAAATGTCATATTAACTTTTGAGGTGGATATTGTTTGAAAGTGAAATAATTTTATTCGTTGTTTAGTACAAGTAAACTTTGTTAAAATTCACGATGTCATTTTGTCGGCACAAATAAATAATTACGGGCTTTATAAAAATGTATATATTTATTGACTTCATTTACTACACTGTGCATGAATCTAAGCTACTTACAGTGCGAGTTCACGATAGAAACTAAGAACGGTGAGACCCATAGAACAAAGAAAAATAGACTTACTGCATGACACCCATCAGTGTTGGACGAACACTATTTACCGCTGTCTATTAATTTGGTGCTGCTGCATAAGTATTACCCTTTTTTACTCACAGCGCAACTCACAAATGATAGGAAACAATCGAAGACTGTGCTTATAGGAAAAGTGTGAGAAAAAAAAAATTACAAGTAACAAAGCACGAAAATAAATTGTATGTTTTAACGCGATCGATCATTTTCTCCACTCTAGTTCCAAGCCAATTGCAAGAAAATATTTGATCGAATACCTCTTTTTTCCTTCTTGACGCAGCTTAACATTCCTTTTGAGTTTCTATTTTTATTTCCAATTTTCGTATCTGTTTCTTCGTTGATTCGATGTTACAATTTCTTTGGCAACGAACTCTGTATCACAATTATTTTTCCGAAGTATTTTTTTCACTTGTGTAGGCAACATTTTCTTCAGAGTAATTAAACAAATTAACTGAAACTATAAAAAGAAGTCTTATTGCAACGAAAGATTTTTCTATTTTTGATAATTGTGATACAAGTATCAGAATTGTATGGAAAAAAGGTAATTTTCACAAGATAATCATCGAGAAAAATTGGTGGTTCCAGGTTTTCATAAATTTTTGTCGCCAAACACTTATCTCTGAAACTTTTTGGCACATGGAATCAAATGTCAAACATGCCAATAATTTTTCACGAAATGAAATGAAATCTTTCACGCCTGGAAGGTACTTCAGTGTCGACTGCGAACGAAGTACTATAGCCAACAACGAAAGAAAGGAGAACAATAGCCTCATAAATATTTAAAAAGCTAGCCACAACTTTCGTCACTACTGTCGTCGGCCAAATTACAAGGTGAACAAGCGACACCATGCAACTACGGTAAATAGCTCTTAACTGGCACGTATTATCTGCTATAGTCGATGCAGAGATATGTTCTTTTTATTCTTCCTTCTCATCTTTCGTTTGTCGCAACTCTTTGCACGTCGTACTTACTAATGTAATTTTCTTCTTAGCGATTCCCTTTTATGTCTTTTCTCATCTTTGCACGTATGCTTCCTCGCGCGAGCCTCAGTATACTGTTGTCGTGCTCCCGTGTATTTTCTATCTGTTTAAGAACTTACAAAGTTTAACAATGTATTGTACGAGCTTGCAAGTGCATAATTTTAAGAAACACCTTTTGTGTACAAATTTTCAGTTTTTGGTCACTTTTTGTAATCGATTTAACTTGTTTGATGACGATTCAAAGTGTTTTTAATGTTGCTGGTTAGATGATTAATGTTACCATAAATAATACTGACTTCTTTACTTGTCTCACCGAAATACTGAGCATATTAGGTTGAAGGTTTACGTATTAGTGTTATTTTCTTTTGTTTATCGTAAAACTTCAAACATCCTTAAATATACTTACATTATCTAAAGTTACACAAATCAGGTAGTGTTGCGAAAAAATTAAACTGGCGGTTATATGAGTGTTGCGATGAAAACAATTAATTAGTTTTAAAAAATTTTATTTTTCGTGATGTTGTCTTTTCGAAACTAGCGTTAAAGTTTAACCAACATTATCATCGTTAGCTAATAAAAATGCTATTAAACATCGCGTTGGTTTAGTTCACTAAAAAATTAACTACCTGTTTTCGTAGTTAGGTCTTCTTTGTACATAACTCGAGTACCTATTCTTGAATCTTTGAGAAAAAATTTTGCTAAAAATAAAAAAAAGCTATCAAGACGTAAAAAAAATTAATTTACCGAACTACATAACTTGAATCAAAACTTATCTACACAATTTTACGACTTTTAATTTGGCACTGATATTCTGGAAGTGTGTAAGAATTGTTTTTAAAAATTTCGATTCCATCAAGATACTGCAAAGATATTTTATCCAAAATAACTTTCAGTTTTACATTATATTTTTTATAAAATAGTTTTTTTAAAAATAGGAAAGAGTCCATATATGATTTTGAACTATAAAAATCAACGTTTTTTAACGTATTAAAAACCACTTTATAAATACGTAACAAAACCTTTTTAAAAATATTTTTAAGCCAATTTTTAAGAGTTTTTAAAATGTTGTGTACTATAAGAACATTTTAATTTTATTGTAATACTGCACTTAAGTCTATTCTATATTGTCTTGTGTGTAAAAACTAGATAAAAATCTTTTATGTTCATTTACATACGATGAATTAATACTCTTTGGGATTTAGTTGCATATTATTTATAATATTAAACATAATGAACTGTTACATATTAAAAACAAAGTTTTTTTATTTCTCTTTATCAAAAACTTAACGAGATGCACTTTTATAAAACAAAAGGAAAGTCAATTTAGTTTCAATTAAACGCGATTTGATAGTAGAGCAGCAGTATTACCATATACAAAATTTAACGAATAAATAACAAACAGCATTTTTTCATCGGAATTCGTTTTATCGAACATTGAAAGAGTTTTGCAGACCCCTCAACATATCGTACTGCGCAGTTTATAATTTATACGAAACAGTATATGAAATAAAAAAAATTTTAACATTTTAATATTTTAATATTTTTTCTATAATGCCATAGGAACATCAAGTAATAGCTACCATGGATAAAATCTCCTCGTTTGACGATTATGTATGGCCAAACAGATATCTACTCAATTCCATCGGATTTTGGCCTAAGGAGTCTAATGAATCATGCATCTCACGAATGCTCACCTACTTTCGAATAATATTATCTATTTTCCTTATCAGTACAATATTTTTGCCCGAAATTTTCACCATGATTAAGTATAGGCACAACATCGCCATCATAACAGGTAAAATTAACTTAAGTATTCAATACAATTTCTAACCGAAATGTTGGTATGGACCTTGGTTTAAACGTTGCAAGCAATCGACAGGCTTGAGAAACGGCATCCTTCGGGTGGAAAAAAATGATTGTCTCTAGAGTAATAAAATAACACTTTGACAAATTGTTCATTAATTTGCTGTAACTTTTCCTAGAAATTTAAAGTTAAATTATTAGGTAAAAACGTGAGAAAACGTTTATTGAAAATCATGATTTTTGGCATAAGCTCTCAGGAAGAGCAGTACATTTTTTACAGATTAATACGTCGAATGATGTTGGTAATTAAAATTAGATATTCATAAAAATGCAAACGTAGATTGTTATTGCCTATACGTTAAAAGCAACTTTTAAAAGTCATTCCTTTTTATATTAAAAATTTTGTGCAGTTGCTTGAATTCATTCAAAGAACAATCAATAGAATTTAATAAACTTGAGATATTCGACAACTCGGTCAAAGAAAGTACTAATTTAAAACTGTATTCAAAAAAAGCGCTAACTCAAAATTTATAAAAAATGTCAATTCAGATTCTGATTGAAGAAAGCGATCATTAGAGGAATTTTTTCTCTAAGTTTTGTAGTGGTAGTTTTGTTTTACAATGAAAAAAATTTTAAAAGGTACATAATTTTAATCATTACATGTTATATCATAGAGATAGATAAAGGACTTAATTATCCAGACAGAAGCTTATTCCTTTTTGGCGTTTCTGAGGTGGCGCCATTACAAAGATGAATCCTTGCCGAGGACTAAAACGGTGTCAGAAGTCGGTGAAATTCTTTCTATCAGTTAAAAAAGGGTCTAGATCCGTAGCTGAATAAGAAAAAGCTGTTAACTAATTTGGCTTGTGCTATAAAGGCTTTTATCTGAGTTTTAGTTTCAGCTGAACATAGAAAGAAGCCTGCATTTAATAAAAAGATACGATGAAAAAAATGCAGAGGGCTCGAAACTGGCTGTGCAGACTAAATCTAAAGAAATATTTTTTAGTGCCCGTCAATGAGAATCACATAAGATGTTTTAGATTTGTTTTCTTTAAAGACATTCTTTGATTTACATGAATATTTACTTTACTGTTCAGGTTCAGCTCCACGGCTGTTTAAAAAAGTTGTCAAACACATATTAACAAGTTTGAGAGGAGACGGTATCAAAGTTATAGCTTATCTGAACGATTTTTTAGTTTTTGATAGTTCTTAGATGGAATTTGAGAGTAATTGCAAACTAAACGACTTATATCGTTTTGATAGTCGTTGGGCTTCAGCATTAAGTGGGGCAAGAGTGAGTTCACCTCTAAGCAATAAATCATCTTTCTGGGCGTAGTCGTTGACTTTCATAACAATCTTCTTGTTTTACCATCTAAAAAGAAGCAAACTATTACTAGTCTTTTGGATAGTATTTTGTTAGTTCAAGCCTTTAGTTTAGAAAAGTGATCCAGATTGATTGAGATTTTAGTGACTGCTTCCCCAGAAGTAGCTTACAAGTGGTTGTTTTATCAGGAGTTATATATATAGCGCTTGAAACAGGAGGCTTTGCTTCTTCATGGTTATAAAAAGAGTAGCTAGTGAATTTGACTATATTACCTAAAACCATTAGGTCTGGTGCATTAAACGGAGAATATGTAGATCCGAAGGAAATCCTGCAGATGAGGGATCCGTAATCTTCAATCCGGTTGCAGAGTAAACATTGGCCGACTTTTCCTTTCAAGAGGTATATGACAAAAAATGTTCAGTTTGACAGTGGATTTACTCGCGTCAAAAGTCAATAGTAAGTGAAGGATGTACTGCATTTGTGGTAGAAACCCGGAAACCTAGGTGATCAACGGCTTTTCAATCCCCTGGTCTAACTTTTCTAGTATGTGGAAACTTTGTATTCAATTTAAATTAGTTGTAACAACATAATTTCGTCGGCTCACACTGAATCTATTATTTTTTTATTTTATTTGCATTTACTTCCATTTTTCTTGAATTTTAATCTTAGCATCAGTTTGCCGATATTAAAATCGTCTTGAAAGACTACTTCCGCAAAATCAGTAGCATCTAGACGACCAAATGAAAGTTAGACATTCAAGTCGACTTGATGATTAGCCTATCCATCTATGAATAATAGGCTACATAATCCGATGTTTAAAGCTGCTTTTAAACATCAGCCAAATCTGAATTACATTAATTGTATACAAATCAAAATTGTTGCTATGGATATATTGTTTGTGACTTTTGTCAGACAAAAAATTGGAAGTATGAAACTCCTGGAATAGCAGTACGATTTCTCTGCTACATTTTCAAGAACCCCTAGAAATTTTGAAAGTATAATTTGTAGGATTTCAATCATTATCAAAAAATTTTCTGGATAATATAAGGGAACATACTCTTTTTCACATGACATCTTTTGGCGCTCAGTGAACTACCGAGGATAATTTTATGCCTACGTTTGGAATTCAAGGACAAGTTTATCATAGAATAAATATTTTACTTCTAATATCTCTGTTCTATAAAGTTGTTCCTGATTTGGGTGCAGGATTAATACAAATCCGCCGAAGTGTTCTGCTCACCAGCGATACTTTAATCAAAAGATTTAAATGTAATTTGTAAAGTTGAACTTCCCTATCAAAAATTACTATTGTTTTATTTGGCAGATGATTTTTCAATCATTATTCACTCTGATCGTACACTTGCAGATCAACATAGAGATCGTTATAAAGTTCCAATAATTTGTTAAAGAAGTTGTTATCTGTGAGTAAACGAAGATAAAGGTCCAAGAGATATTATTCTTCGCCGTTGAAATATTCAATGACAACAAATATCAGAACGGCACCGACCGCATAATCCTCTCTAGTGCCCTCTTATGTTTTCTACAGGTAAAGATGGATACTACCTAACAGTTCTAACAATAAAATATTGGCAATTTTGATCGCACAAAAACAATATCTTGTACGCAATTCTATGCTTACACACTCGTGGATAGAGTATATTCTAAAAACTGTCTACATTAATTTCAAAAATCTATTTAACCAACGTTGTGTTGATATGATGGTAAAAATGGTCACAGAATATTCAAAAGCGAAATAAATTTATCTAATACCCCGTATACTTATGGTTACCACATATTTACCTTTTCAATTTAAACAACTTCAGTTTCCCGTTTAAGTTTTATTTACTGTTTCTATTAACAAAGCTCAAAGTCAAACATTCAAACATGTTGGAATTAATTTGCGCTGAAATGGTTATTTACACGGACAATAGTATGCCAAAATTTGAAGATCAGGTTCATCTGAAAACCAATTTGTACTAATGTCACATGGTACAGAAAAAACTAAAACTGGTAGCGTATTGTGAAATTTCCCAAAATGCATATAAGGAATCCCAGAAAAAATTTCTAACTTAAGGTGGCTCCAGTGGCCTCAATGTTAAAATTATAAATAACCCAACCGAGGTTAATAAAATTCGATTATATTCTTGGAATTCCCATCTTTCTATTCGTATAAAAAAAAATTAAGGTTGACGATGAAAATTGTAAGAAATCATGCTTACAAAATCGTAGTTTTAAGACGGGTTAGATAGGAAATGCAAGCTTACGCGATATACAACCTACTGCTGCACTTATATAAATAACCCGTAAGGTGTAAAAAACATACTATCTTGTACATATTTTTACGCAGTTTTCGATGACATGAGAAAAGTGTCTTGTCATCGAACAAAATCTTTAAATAATCGGAGACTAACCATACAGTAGCAAGTGCAAGTCAGCTCTCAGCTGTCTGCATTCTGCAGAGTACATATACATAGGTATAACTACTCTTGAACTTAGGAGCGTACCGTAACAGTTCATCAATTAGGGAACCATAAAACTTTTTTGTTTTTTTATTTTAACTCACTAAAGTGACAGATAAAATGTAGAATATGGCTTACAACAGTCTCTGCGATAATTTTATACCATATTTTAAAGAAAATAATGATTAATTTTTAGTCTCCCCATTTTGATACGGCACTAGGCGCTGGAGCCACCTTAACACGAACGAAATCAAATATTTTCAACATTCATGCATAGAAACCTGGCAAAGCCGCCACAAAGAGTTCATTCTAAAATATGTTAGTAGATGAAAGATATATTTGTAAAATAAAATAAATCGTAGTACCACTATAAAATGGAAAAAAAATTTCTCCAAGACAGTGCTTATTTCAAGGCAATTTGAAGTTGGCGTTTTTTTCACCGTGACGACGAATTGAATAAAATCCATTTGATAGTCGCACCTTTATCTATAGTATTATGCATAAATAATTTTATACAAGAAATCCTGATACTGACGTTTATGCCGACTTCAGCATTGGTTTGATGATTGTGCAATTGGAGTATTTATCTTAGTTAAATGTATTGTGGTGGAATACTGACTTTTTTTCTCGAAAACTAGTGCAGACAATGACTTTATTGGACGAATAGTTGTAAAAAAATATCAGTATTTTCGATTTACACAAATTGTAAAAAGAGTTGCTATTCATATTGCAAATTCAATGCAAATTTCGTTGTTCACAGTGAAGCAAAAAGTTACTTTCATTTTATTTTATCTCAAGCAAGTATTTTGTCTCTGTTAATTTTTAAAAAACGCCATTTTCTGAGCTAAAATTCTTCGATGAAAAGATATTTCTGAGTTTGTTGTTAATATTATTTATTCCTGAGTTTTCTAACTTTTAAGGCATGATTTTTTGGTGACGAAGGATTAAAAATTATAAGTATAACAAGTTTAAAAAGCTACGTGTGTCAAAAATTTGAAATAAAGGCTGTATTATTTTAATTGATTTAAAATGTTTGTGTTAAAATTTTTATCATTACTAGACGTCGGCAGTGTAGCAATAGAAATGAGTCAACTGATCTTCAAAGTGTACTACATGCTGGCACGACGAGAGAAATTTTATAAAATTTACAAGAGCGCCAAGGAACTCTGGTCCATAACAAGTGATCACACAGAGCGGAGACACTTGGAGAAATTGGCGAAGCTAGCCAATCGCGCTAGTATCGGTCTCTTCAGCGTGGGAATGGCAAATCTATTCACTTTCTCAACTGTTTCGACTGTTCTTACAATCAATAACTATCGTCGATCGAACAATACGAATTATGTTCATTATTTTCCACTGAATATTGAGTAATGTGTTTCTCTAGGCCTAACAATTTTTTTTTATTTTTTGGAAGACAACTAAAATAAATAAGATATTGAGTTTTCAGATATGGTATCATTGACACGCAACGCTCATCCAACTTCGGAATCGTGCTGTGCTCACAAATAATAGCAATGATCTGCAGTATCATTGGCATTGCTGGCTTTGATTCTACTACGATGACCCTGATATTGCACCTTTCCGGACAATTCCGCCTTGTGGCCGCGAGATTTCGTAAACTTGGCAACATAATGACGCTTGGATTGCTAGAATTTCAAACGAAGGTCGAGGAATGTATTAGTCATCACCAAAAAACTTTAAGGTTTTTGTAAAAATTATGCATGAAAAGACTTTTATTACATCAAAAAGGACATTAATTATGACGTATCTAATAACTATTAAGTCATTAAATTGATAAATAATTGTTTAATATGATACCATCGATGAAATTTCAACTTACACCAAAGTTTCACCTTATTTATTCACCTGTTTTCAAAAATAACTACCTTAATCATGACCATTCAAAGTGTTAGAAAACTATGTGACTTTAAGTATTTTTTATAACATAATTTTTTATTTGTGGAACGATAAATTTTAAGGTATTGAATTGTAAGCAAAAAATTAAAACTTGCATTGGATAAAGTGTACAATAAATACGAAAACAAATTTTAAAAAATAAACTCAATGAAAACTTATTAAATTCTGAAGAGATTGGTGCCTTAAAAATTGTTTGATATCACATTTTCAAAAACTATCAACTTTATAGCTTTATAATATTATTCACTTAGCTATTTTATTGGTAAAAATGTCTGCTTACAACTCGACTTCTCACGCTGTAAGATGACTTTTCACACAAAATCACTTGTATTCGCTCCGTGCAGCAGTCTGAAATAGCGCCGCCTGCATGGGTAAAAACGGCAGTACTTACTCATAAATATAACATATATAGCCTCTTATGGGCCATGACGCCTCATACATTTTTTTGAGGCATGAACGGATCTCTTATAAGTATAACTAAGTTTAGTGCGTAAGTAACTAACCACATGTGCTTTAGTGAGTTAGTATGATTAGTATGAACAATTTTTCCGTTGGTGGCGCTGTTCCAAAGTGTTGCATGGAGCTAATAGAAAACATCTAATTTAAAATAATTTTAAATACACAAACTTGGAAGTGTGTTTACTGAACTTAAAAATTGTAAGGTTATGCGGTACAGCAACTGGAAACACAATTTCGGCAGGGGTAAGCAAAAAGTGATGTACGTCACTGTGCTCTGTAAGGTAAATATCCCTATTTTGACCACCATCATACTTGTTTCTTTAATTTCTTTTTCTGAATTGTGAGCTTTAATCGTAGAAATTTTGGTTTTTGCTGGTAAACTATAAATTTACCATTACTATTCTAATTTTAAAATATGGTTCCTAATTGTTGAATGACTTTGTTTTCTAAAACGATTATAAGACCAAATTGTATATAATTATGAATCATCGTACTTATTGTTTCATAATTATGTCCCTATTTATAAAACTTTCTTAAAAACAAATTTAGTATAATAGATTAAGACAATTAAAGTTTTTTCTCTTGCATAACACTGTTGTATTTAAGAGAAATAGTTATAACGTTTATTTGTTCACTACAAATATAAATTACTCGTTGAAGTTTGGTACCATAATTTATACAGTTCTAAAGATAGTTTATGTTTGACTTTGTTCCTATTTATGGAATTATCTTTAAAATTAGTCATTCATCGTAAACATAATGAAACTTTTCTTACGAATTCATAAAGATAGATAAAATATACAACTATACACAATTTTTTTCATCAAGTAAGTTGCATAACAAATACATGAATTTTCTTATTTCACGAATAGGGACATTTACCCTTAGCAACAGGAGACGTAAAATCATATATTAACGGTTGGGTAAAAGACACAGCCAACTCAGATACTTGGTGAAAAAGGAGCTAATTCAAAATTTAGGTTGAAAAAGCAGTCAACTTAGATTTGGCTTGAAAAAGGAACCAACTCAAGTTCAAGTTGAAGAAGCAGCCAACTAGGGAGGATTTTTTTTAATCAAGTTTTGTCGTAGTAGCACTGACATTCACAATATAGGTACACCTATATGAACGAAACAAAAATTTTTCAATAATCCAATATTTCAGAAAAATAATGAATAATATTGTAGTAAAGCGTACTTTATTTAGAACATTTCCAGCTAATTTTTTTGTTTTAAACATCGTCTTAAAAAACCAACTTATTTCAACTACAAATGATATTTTTTTTTTTAATTTTAGTATAAATAGTTATTACTTTTTTAAATTTCTTCCTAATTATAAAATTCATGAATTCTATATCAACGTGGCCTACTATTTCATTATATTTTTATAAAAACTGTGATATTCATGTACAAAAGTGATAAGGTATCATACACAACAATTCCATATTTCTTAAAGTATATTTATGTATATGTACGTTCCCATACAACAGTATAGTCATATTTACTTAACATTTTTTTCTCTCTCCTATGACCACAGCAGAATAGTAAAGAACACAATTAAATAAATATAGTACGCTGTACTAAAATAACATAAATTATTTTTCTGAAACATTGGATCATTAAGAAATCTTTGTTCGTTTATATAGGTATACCTTTATTGTAAATGTCAGCGCTGCCACGACAAAACTTGATGAAAAACAATTACTCCCGAGTTTACTACATCTTCAACCCGAACCTGAGTTGGCTCCTTTTTCAATTCGAATCTAAGTTGACTGCTTTTTCAACCTTAATTTTGAATTAGCTCCTTTTTCACCAAGTATCTGAGTTGGCTATGTCTTTTACCCAACCGTCGATACGCACGCTGTTCGGAGGTTAAGAAATCCCCTAGATTCACATTATTAAGCGCTTCGCCTTTGGCGATTATTCATGTGAAATCTGGGACATTCTTAACCACACTCACTAGGTGCGTAATGTACTAAATCCAAAACTTAGTGTGGCTCTTTACGAGAACTGGTACTTTAGTTCTATCATTCAAAAAAATTTGCATTTTCGAAAATTTGTACCATACTTTTATCTTATAGGTTAGATTGCCTGTGCAATTTAATAATAATTTTTTTTTCGTAAACAGCAAATGTTGACACTATAACTATGGCTGCAAAATAGTAATTATCTTAAACTATATTTTGCAACTTTTTAACGTAAAATTTCCCAACTAACCCTTCAACATGGTTGTTGCTATATAATAAATGCAAAAATGTGTGTAAAAATAAATACTTTGATAATGGTATACTGAAAAATATCTAGTTGAGTTTATTATAACCTTAAGTAGTGAATAATTAGCACGCTTTTAATCTAACTATATTTGTAAAATAAAAGATTTATTTAAAGTGTAATAATTCAATTCCGATTTGAAAATTTCACTTAGAAATCATGTAATTATAGCAGAAATCTTCCAGCTGACAGCTACTGGACTTACATAATAGTCACATAGTAATGTCTACCGAAGGTGTCAGTAGACTTAACTAGTTTTTTTTCGTGTATATTTCAACATCTCTGTGTATATTACTTATGTAGGTGCATGTATATTAAATCATAATATCCAAATTAGGATAGCAAACGAGACGAGGGAACTCCTGGCCCCAGTGATCTTCGTCCAACTGATGTCTAGTGGCCTGGAAATATGCCTTAGTATTTTCATGCTAGTAAGGGGTGGTAGCAATACAGAAGTGACAAAATACATTATCTACGCCGTCACAATGTTCGTTCAATTGGTTCTGTGGTGTTTGCCGGGTGAGCTGATCATGCAAGACAGCATGTCCGTGGGAAACGTCATTTATCACGAACTTCCTTGGTATCGGCTTCCTGTCAGTCAGCAAAAAGATCTGTTTTTCGTCATGGCTAGAGCTAGAAGAAGCTGCTGCGTCACAGCTCTTAAATTTCAGGTCATGTCGATCAGCAAACTCGCTGAGGTAAGTTACAGTGCTTACTATCAACCTCAATTGGTTCATTTTTTTGTTTTTAAAACGACAACATTGTCCTAGTACGCTCTTCATAATGGAAAATTATTTAGAATTATTTTGAAACATCTAACTTTTTTATTCATCATCTTTGTAGAAAGTTTCACAATGAAATTAAAGGTCTTGAAAAATAAACCTTTTCTGAGTAAAATATATATATTTTTTTTTTAAAGATAAACAGAAGCCCCATTGTAAAACGCGTGTTTCACATAATTTTACTGAATATAAGATTTATTCGCAGTCAAACTATTAACCGCCCCAGAACACTCAGTACTTACCTTCATTAAGTAAAAAAAAATATATATATCTTAAATCTCCATACGTAGCCCACATTCGCTGAACTTTCATTTGCGAACAAATCCATAATTTCACAGTGGAAGTTGGATCTTACCCATAATACCATATTTTCATGTATTATAGCCAATCAGTGATGCGATCATAATTATATTCTGTGATTAAACTCTTCCAAAAAATTATTTTACAGGTTTTTAATACAGCAGCATCTTACTTTGCACTCTTGCGAAGCGTGACAGACAAATCAGTTTAAAATTTATTAGAAAATTGTAAAAAATACACAGAGTGTAGCAATCATTTATTAAAACTATTCAGATGTATTTTTGTACTCTAGAAAATTAAATATAATCACAAAATTTTTGTCGAATAAATTATTTACAAACTGTATCTTGACATCGTTTGTGTTGAAAATAGACCCAGTTTTATTTCAACAATTAAGTATACAGAGGTGTTTTTTCACTTGAATTAGCATTTCCCGAAATCTGATTTTTTGCGTCTCAAAATAATCCAGTTTTTTTAGCAGTATCAAGGCTTTACATGGCTTGAAAATTATTCTTAGAGTGAATTAATCTCAAAAATTATATTTTAAGTCACACTAACCCTACAAAAAAATTAAAAATAATTTTGACTTGTTCTAAGATTCGATGTAATTAAAAAAATGTTTAATCTAAGAAAGCTTTATTGATGGAAATTAAAACGAAAATTTTTTTTACTCGTTCATCAATTTTTTACTAACGTAATGGTTATTAATTGTATAATAAATCACACACTTTGTGTACATAAATTTTTAGATTTTGAGTCATATGGTCAATTATTTATTATGGTTCAATATGTAAGGTAAGAAATACATCGCCACTAACAAATCAAACTTTCCTTGAATTTTAAATATGCTATACATTAAATTTATATTATTGAAAACTTTTTAAAAAATATTGAATGTAGTTGCAGTAGAACTCTGGTATGTTTATCCGTTTTGTCAATACATGGTATAGACGTTACATCGCTCATAGGTTATGGGGATGGCGGCCTTGCGACCTAGCAAACTTATCTCAGATGGCGCAACCAGTACTTATATTCTAGCCAATGAGATGTGAGAACGGTTTATGCACGAAATTATACACATGATCTTGATGGCCGGGGTTCAAATCCCACTCTGGACAAAAATTTCATCATTGAATGAGGTTTTTTTCTGGATGGGAGTTGTACTTCAATAAACCTACCGATCCATCTACCGTTTCCTCCTACTGTTATTAAACCCAACGTATGGCTAAATACACTTTATGGTGTCAAAATAGCCATGTCTGAGCCCTTAAGGGGCGATGATGAATATAAAAAAAAAAAAAAAAATATGTAGTGTTTATAAACATATGTATACTTTTAAGCACAAACCGTTTTCACATTTTATTGGCTAGAATCTGAGTAACAGTTGCGCCATCTGAGATTGGTCGCCATCCCGGATCCCGGATCCCGGATAGGTTATGACTGTTATTAATCATGTGTTGACAAACCAGATAGATGGATCAAGGTATCACTAACTGTACACAATAAGTCCACAAAATTTCAGCAAGATCGGCTGAAAACATTTTTCAAACGGCGAGGAAACGCGCAAAAAGACTGACAAGATCTATGAAAAAAATGTCAGCAAACTTAAACCAAAAACGCTTGCAAAAATGCTATGCTTTGTTCTTGAAGAGTTGCTGCAAAAAATTATTTACATGATTTGAAAAATAATTATTTCATAAAATCGCTCTATGCTTAAGCTAGCAACCAATAGATGAGATATGCTGGCGTTATATTCACTGTGAGCACAATGTCGCTAAAATCGGAACTTTGATACCCAAACCCACTGGAAATACATGTGCTAGCGACATCAGCGCTAAAATTCATCGAAGTTCCGATTTCTACCACATTGTGCACACAGTAAATACCCAATTCACCATATATCAGCTTTATAGTTTGATACAATTTTCCATAATTTTGAGGAGGTTGACTACCTCAAGCAATTGACAGTCGGTTTTAAACTAAAATTTGAGCTCAGTTTTAAAAACGTATAAAAAAAATTCATGAAAAGTTTCAACATCTCTGGATGCTTATAAACTGAAAAATTAATGGAACAAGTTTGATAAATTTTACATGCATTCTTATGGAAGATAGTCAACAGCGACTCTGCACTGAGAGACCCAATTATTTATAGTCAACATATTAATATGTTAGCTGCATAGATAACCTGTATATTTTCAGATAACTGATGCATTGTATTAATGAACTTGATTTATTAACTATTAACATATTAAACTTCCAGATCAACATAGAAAGAGTTGATCAAAACTAAATATGTTAGCTTCAAAGATATGTATAGTTGCTTAAAATTGAACGTGTCTATGTTAACAGTTAAGATATATGTTAACAATGAACAACTGGGTCTCTCAGTGTGATAATAAAAAATTGTTATACAACTAACTACACTTTGGTGGTAGTGTCGGTGAATACATGTATTTTAAATGAAATTTTGGTTTCGTAGTTCCAATTTTTGCTGTTTATGCATGGAGCTAATAATCAACAGTAATATCTGCCTAATGATTATGTAAAACAATCACGTCGATTAGGTGCTTGTAAAAATAGTGATTAATGAACAATCTGGAGTGTAAGAATAACTCAATGTTAATTAACATGCACGCACATTTCTAACCGAACCGAAAAGAGGTACAAAGTCGGACATCTCTCTCACACCCCCTCCAAAGATAGTAAATCGACTTAAAACTCCCATGCACATTGAGGTTATCAATTTAGTTGATTTAGATGTACTATGCTGTTTCCTAAAAAAGCAGTATTTTAAGCTGACAACGCGATGATAGTATGTGTGATTTCCAAGAATATAAAAAAATGTTATTCTTATTGTATTTTCAAAATTTTTATTAACAATTTAACCATACATCCAAATGCGCGTTTGTCAAAAAAAGAACAATCACGTAATATATACCTTGAGTCCGCATTTTGTAATACGAAAAATAATCTTGTAACATAGAAATGAAAACACCACTATCCCATGGGGGTTGTAAAAATATTTTTGTTGTTGTTATTATTAATGTTGGTGTTGCTTGGCTGCTGACTGCAGGGGAAAAATAAACATCGAGGGCTAATCTCTTTTAAACCGTCCTCCTGAAACAATAAAAGTGAAATTATTTTTTTGTATGATAATTATTTAATTCCTGATGAGGAAATCTTACATGTTCAAGAATTTCAAAAAAGAAAAGCACACTTTGTTAGATGGAAAAAAATATTCTAAAATAAAGTACACAGTATGGCAAGTAAGTATGTACATTGCTGATTTAAAAGAAAAAAAAAATGTGTTGAAGTTATAAAATAAAAAAAAATAAATATTATACACCTTATGTTTTAATTGACAATTTAGCTTAATTATCTTGTTGTATCTAGCTTATGATGAGCGCGCGGTGGCTCGGTCGACTAGGTCGTGGATTGGCACGCGGGAGACCGTGGTTCGATTCCCAGCCAGTGCGACTTTTTCGGGCAAGTACCTCTGTGATTTTTCACATGTGCTTTTTCACCACGCAATGCTCCTCGAGGAGGGTTTAGGCGACCTTCTCGCAGCAATAATTGCCTAAATTTCCCCTACCCCCTCTCAGCAATGGGAGGCCTCCCATCCCTCTTTCCCTCCTTCTCCAAAGTGCTAAGTTCCCATAGTAGTGCCCTTATTAAAGGAGCCGGACGTAGAGCCCTATAATA